GTTCCTGAAAAAAGTTGAAAGATCTCGAAGTCTCTGATATTTTGTTTTTTAAAAACGTTGAATTATTTTCGAAGCCTTCTAGTGTTTTGCCGTTTCTGAAAAAATTCTTCAATTTCTCGATTCTAGAAATTTACGATTTCTCGATTTCTTTATCTTTCGAGTTCTCAATTTTCCGTTGTTTATTTTACAAGTTTTCCATTTTTCCACTCTTCAATTCTTCGATTTTTTCAATTTTTCAGATTTTCATCTTTTGACGTTTCTAAATTTTCAATTTTTCGATTTCCCAATGTCGATTAATTAATTTGTTGATTTTCTCATTTTTCGATTTCTCGAATTTTCAGTGTTTGATTCACTTTTTCAATTCTTCAACTTTTCTATTTTCAGGTTTTTAATTTTTCAGTTTTTCCACTTCGACTTTTCGCCTTTTCATTTTCTTGATTTTTCAGTTTTTTATTCTTTAGTTTTTCTTCCATTTTTAATTTTTGGGATTTTGCAATATTTCGATCCTTCAGTCTTTAGATTTTTCGATTTTTTACTTTATCGATTTTTCGATTTCTTGATTTCTGGATTTTTCTATTTCTTGATTTCTTGATTTCACTATTTTTGGGATTTTTCTGACTTTCCGAATTTTTAAATTTAGACTTCATTTTTTTCGATTTTCTTATTTTTGGAATTTTAAAATTTAGATTCCAGTATTTTGATATTTGGATTTCACGATTTTTCGATTCCTCGGTTTTAGATTTTTTGGTGTTTCAATTTTTCGATTTTTCAGTATTTCTTTCCTTGATTTATCGAGACTTAAATGTTTGGACTAGTGGATTGTTCAATTTCTCAATTTTTAAATTTTTAACTTTTCGATTTTTCGACATCTATACTTTTTCATGTCTCGATTTTTTGGTAATCCATTTTTCGATATGTCAGTTTTTCAAGATTTAGATGTATCGATTTTTCGCTTCTTCGGTTTTCTTGATTATTCAACTTTTTGGCTGCTCGATTTTCTAATTTTTCGATATTTCGATTTTTGAATTTTTTTATTTCCCAATTGTTCATTCTTCTAACTGCTGATGCTTATAATCTGAATGTGTTTCTAGTGGAATTCTTACGAAGTGTAAATAAACACTCGAAGTTAAGCAAGTAGGGAGAAATTGGGTATATAAAATAGCAAAAAAAAGTTGTATGTTTTAAAGCGGGATTTTATTTTTTTAAAGGCAAAGGAATTTCTATAGAAATAAACTTCGGCCAATTTTTTTAACACATCCGATTTTTCTGTTTTTCAATTTTTCAATTGCTAAATTTTTTAAATTTACTATATTTCGACTTTTCAGTGTTTGTAAATTTGTTATTGAAAAAAAAATCAGATTAAAAATCAAGAAAAAGTAAAATTAGAAACGAAAACTTTCAAAATTGAATATCCGAAAAAATGCAAGAGTGTAAAACCGAAAAATAAATATTCTAAATTTAAAGAACCAAAAAATGAAAAACTTAAAAGCCAAAATTTTTTTCAATCGTAAAATTTAAACATTACCAAATTATGAAATTACAAGGTCGAAAAATTGGAAAATCGAAGAACGAAAAAATCCAAAATCGTAAAATTATAAAAGGAAAAACTGATAATAAAATCAAATTGAAAAATCGAAACATTGTAAACTTGTAACAGGACCAAAATCAATCTTATCATGGGCAAATATTAGCCCCGCCCACCCGCCCTTTATTTTCTTCCGAGGGTATACCATTTGGTAATCTCAGTTTTATCTCAGCAAGTATTCACTCCGCCAACCCGCCTCTTATTTCCTTAGGGAGTCGATCATTTGCCAAAATCTTATATTAGCAGCTACTAGCTCCGCCCACTCACCCTCTCTTTTCTTAGAGGGTATATCATTTGCCAAAATCAGTTTTACTTAGCAGGTACTAACCCCGCCCACCTACCCACCCTCTCTTTACTTAGAGGGTATCTCATCTGCCAAAATCAGTCTTATCTTAGCAGCTACTATTTTCCAGTCTTGAAATTTTCAAATCCTCGGTTTTTCAGTTTTCCGATTCTTTAATTTTTCGAATTTTCAATTTTTGTGATTTTTTTAAATTTTGGATTCAGGATTTCTCGATTTCTCGGTTTATTGATTTTTCGACTTTCAATTTTTTCATTTTTCGATTTTTTGGTATTCCATTTCTTGATATGTCAGTTTTTCAAGATTTAGATGTATCGATTTTTCGCTTCTTTGGTTTTTTTGATTATTCAACTTTTCGGCTGCCCGATTTTCTAATTTTTCGATATTTCGATTTTTTGATTTTTTTGTTTCCCAATTGTTCATTTTTCCAACTGCTGATGCTTGTAATCTGAACGTGTTTCTAGTGAAATTTTTACGAAGTGTAAATAAACACTCGAAGTTAAGCAAGTAGGGCGAAATTGGGTATATAAAATAACAAAAAAAAATGTTGTATTTTTTAAAAGGGGATTTTATTTTTTTTTAAGAGCAAAAGAATTTCTATAGAAATAAACTTCGGCCAATTATTTTAACATTTCCGATTTTTCTGTTTTCAATTTTTCTATTGCTAGATTTTTTTAATTTAGTATATTTCGATGTTTTGACTTTTCAGTGTTTAATTTTTCAAAATTTCAGTGTTTGTAAATTTGTTATTGAAAAAAAAAATGAGATTAAAAATCGAGAAAAAGTAAAATTAGAAACGAAAACTTTCAAAATTGAATATCCGAAAAAATGCAAGAGCGTAAAACCGAAAAATAAATATTCTAAATTTAAAGAACCAAAAAATGAAAAACTTAAAAGCCAAAATTTTTTTTAATCGTAAAATTGAAACATTTACAAATTATGAAATTACAAGGTCGAAAAGTTGGAAAATCGAAGAACGAAAAAATAAAAAATTTGAAACAATTGGAAACCGGATAAAATCCAAAATCGTAAAATTATAAAAGGAAAAACTGATAATAAAATCAAATTGAAAAATCGAAACATTGTAAACTTGTAACAGGACCAAAACCAGTCTTATCATGGGCAAATATTAGCCCCGCCCACCCGCCCTTTATTTTCTTCCGAGGGTATGCCATTTGGCAATCTCAGTTTTATCTCAGCAAGTATTCGCTCCGCCAACCCACCTCTTATTTCCTTAGAGAGTTAATCATTTGCCAAAATCTTATCTTAGCAGCTACTTACTTTTTTCTTAGAGGGTATATTATTTGCCAAAATCAGTTTTAACTTAGCAGGTACTTGTCCCGCCCACCCACCCTCTATTTTCTTAGAGGGTATTTCATCTGCCAAAATCAGTCTTATCTTAGCAGCTACTATTTTTCAGTCTTGGAATTTTCAAATCCTCGGTTTTTCAGTTTTTCGATTCTTTAATTTTTCGAATTTTCAATTTTTGTGATTTTTTTAAATTTTGGATTTAGGATTCCTCTATTTTTCGGTTTGTTGATTTTTCGACTTTTCAATTATTCCATTTTTCGATTGTTTTGGTGTTTGATTTCTCGATTTTTTAATTTATTCGACATTTTAATTTTACAGTTTAAGTTTTAGATTTTTTGCTTTCTCGATTTTTCAATTTTTCGAATTTTTACATTTTTGCTTGCCCCCGTTTTTTTGATTTTTCAATTTTTTGATTTTTAAAATTTTTCATTTTTCGACTTTTCAGTTTCTGGATTTTACGATTTTTTAATGTTTCGATTTCTTGACTCTCGGTTCTACGATTTTAAATTTTTTTTTACTTTTCAATTTTTCAAGTTTTCAATTCAATTTCTGGATTTTTCAATTTTTGGGTGTTTTAATTTAGAAAAATCCAAAAATTAAAACATGTTTCGATTTTTCGGTTTCCGATTTTTAAAGTTTTCGATTTTCCAGTTTTTTTGAATTTTTCAATACCACAGTTTCTCAATTTATCGACAGTCTGATGTTTCAGCTTTTGATTGTTCGAACATTGTTTTCCATTAGTGATCTATTGTAAATAAATTTCATATTATTCGCACTGGTTTTACGAGATTTATAATGCGCCACTTCAGGGGCCAGGGAAGTTCTGTCGATATAACCTTCGACCAATTTTTTAATTTTCGAAACGTGTTTCTTTTACAACAGAAGAGGTTTGATGGGTCGGGTGGATGCTAAGGCAATATTGACCGATATTCGCGTCTGAATGGAACGAACATTGATCCGAGGTGTCTTCAATGAAGTCATAATAATCGATACATCTCGTTAATAATTGAAAAACATAAATAAGTACGCTTTTATCGAGAACGTCTTATGATTTTTGAGATTGATTGACCTAGCAGGTCGCCCATATTGACAAACACGAGTATGACGTAAAACTCAGACGCGTAGAATGCAATGACATGTTGTTCGATAAAGCATGACTCGATTACGAATTTATACCAACCTCATGCATTAAATTTCACAATCAGAAAACCGGCCCAAAATCCCCAGGTGTCATTCCATCAAAGTTCAGTAATCCAGCCGACTGCGCCGACCATCTCCGGACTTATTTTTAGCCATAACGGCCCCTGGCCATTGTCGCCGTCCAAAACCCGCTAATGGTCCAAGCCGACCATCGGAACTTCAGGAATGACCCTTGTTTACCGTAAATAGCCCAACCGCGGCGATTACCCGAAATCGATACCCAGCAAGCCCAAACCGGCGGTGACGTGCGTCGCGAATCCATGAATGGGAGGCATCGGCATAACAGGTGGTCTTTTTTCCTCTGCGCCTCCGCCGTCGGCGGCCGCCCCCAGGTCCTCCTCGCCTCTCTTCTGTTCGTCGCGACCGACCCATGGCCGTCCCCGCCGCCGCCGACCCAACCGGCCATGGGTCCTTTTGCGCCGCGAACAGGTGGCGGTCGGCGCCGTGGGTCCTCCGCGTCCCCGAATAATGCACATTGTGATCCTTTCGACAATTGTGCGAGTGAATGGGAGCGGCGTTGTGAGGCGGTGGTGGGGGCCGGCGCGTAGGCGGACTCGGTCGAGACGACGGCGGCGGCCGCCGTCCCGGCAGTCGCGAGCCGCCTTCCCAGCCCTCAGCACGAGCAGATCTCTCCGAAGAGGACGTCCACGGTCGAGGAGCTCCGCGTACTGCACGCGCGTCAACAAGTGGCCCAGCTCTGGTCAGCCCCATGGTCGCACGCGATGATCACCTGAAGGCGTGAGAGTGTATGCGGCTATGTGGGCCGTGGTAGCGGCCGCGTTCTGGGTGTGCGTGGTGGCCACTCCGCAGCCGCTGCACCTGGAGCGGGACTCCTTCAGAAGGCCCGGCGTCTGGCAGAAAAGGGACCAGCAAGCCATCGGACAGAATCCTGCCGCAGACGTAACGCAACACTTGCCACAGCTGGTGGCGGTCAACTCGCAACTCATGCTGCGCTCACCCAGAGGCTCACGCCAGTACGACGTGCCCCAGATAGGTAAGCGAAATGGACTTGTTTCTTGGGATTGAGGCGGAAATGCGAAACGCGGGACGGAAGTGCCAATTCGCGACCTTTATTTACCTTTACAGGCGATAAATTGACGCCATGGGACGGGGGTGGTGCACTATGGCGCAACACCGCCGGTACTGCCGACTCGGTAAACAAAACCTGCACGATCGGATTCGGCGAAATTCGAACACGCTAATATTGTGTATGTTCCAAAAATTGCCATCGCAAAAATGCCTAAAATATTCATTAAAATATAAAACACAAATGAATATCATTTTAACAATAAAATCAAAGACATAAACACCATACTTTTAAAAGCAGCAATATTTCCAGTAAAACGTAATTGAAACATGTATGTACAAAGCGAAATAATAGTATGATGTAATTAAAAAATTAACGGGTGTACAATAAAAAATATATTTGGAGCACACGGTGGAAATTCAAGTCATAGGAAAAAATAAACTGTTTATTGTGAACTCAGGGCATAAATTATGTGTCATTATTTTCATTTGTATAACTTCTTTCTTTAATCTTAGAATCCAGACATTGAATAATACAAACATTTTTCACTAACCATCTGAATTGCAATAATCTCTGATTGGACTGGTTTCCAATGTTTTTTTTCGGCTGCAATCTTGCTCCTACACTAAAATGTATCAATGCCAAAGAGACTTTCATTTTATTAAAATTTAAATTATGCAAATCGTCCATTAAAAGGAGCTAATTGCAGATTATCTTCCTTTCCAAAATTTGCAAAATTTCCAATAAATTTAATTTCTACAACATTGGAAGGTAGTTCATATTTTTGTACAATCTCATCAGGTAATACTATAATTTTTTTATCCACTAAAGCCAAACGAAGATTTTTAAAAAGATGAGGAACATCTGCCATACAATTTTTTTTTTTACTACTATCGACTGGATAAAGTTTTGTTCCACAAATTTAACATCTTATGCCAAAACCTTTTCAAACTGATCGATTAGAAGAGCCCATGTCAGACGTTATATTTGTCAGATTAAGTCCTATTTTGGTACAAAGATCAATAATCTCTAGAAGATGCATGATTAAAGATTTTACGTCTGCAGAATTCCCAGTAAAATGATAGGAGATAACTTGTTTCCATCGACTCCTGACTCCACCTAACGTAACAACCATCCTATGTGTATCTACATCTACATCTTCTGGGTTCCTTAAAATGTACAATCCAAACATTGTAGATGCAACAACACAAAATTTTTTCCTGGAGTTATCGTTGTTTCATCCAAACGTAAAGAGCAGTCGTTTGAAGCTTCCATTTTAATACTTAGTTAAATATTAAATATTTCATGGAGGATCCCTGGCATAAATTTAATATGCTGCACTTTTCTACATAATCTTCTTAAAGACCGCAGTGGATAGTTAAATATTAAAAGAATTTGATAGCCAGAGCGGCCGCAGCAAAGTTAAATTTTTAATGCTCTTTCTATATTTTTGTTATCCTATCTTCTCAAATTTTTACATCTAGATAAATTTAGAATTTCGTTTACATTTTCCAAACATTACTTCAAAAAAAACTTCAAATTCCGACTTGAAATTTCAGATTTTAAATTACTGGTAGAACGTATCGAAAGCACCCGATTGTGTCATGTGGGCATTAATTGTTTGATCTAGCGTGTAAAGATCACGATATCAGCTATCAATATTTTTAAAGAGTTTTTGCTACTATGAGGTACCGAAAGCTCGTGATTGTGTGATTCGGTATTAATTTAAAATAGTACGAAATACACCTCACATGTCAAAAATATTTTTAGTAGATTAAGATTCAAAATATACACATTTTTTTTAATTTTTGTAAATTAATTGATATTTCTGAAATAAAAAGCCACTGGTTTTAGTTGCAGAAGATTTATTCGTTTACGTTTTTAGCAAATGTTTAATATTTAAATCTGTTAGTGTTGTTTACTGTCTAATTTTGTGACACTATCGATACCTAATAATTTTGAGTTAAAAGTTGTTAAGGATTTAGCGAAAATGCTTCAGTTTCTGGTTTTCTTTTAACAAGTGGTGGTAAAATTAATTAATTGATATTTTCAAATTCAGATTTGAAATTTCAGATTTTAAATTAATAATTTCTCTATTTCGTTCCAAAAGCAGTTTTTGTTTTATTATTTAGGTGGTTTTTTAAGTTAGATACTTGAATCTTTAAACAGCTGGCTCTTGTTTAAGGATTTCTTGTTCCAGATTTTCTTTTTTAGGGACTTCTTGTTTAAAATCGTGTCTCAACAATTTTTTTAGAGTTTTTGCGACAATGGGGTTTTTATTTTTAAAAACTTCCGAAAAACATATACAAGAACAGCATCGTTTTTTAATCTCAAACCTACAGACAAGTAAAAGTTGTTCTCTTGAAAATGAACCTAAATAACGATAAAATGTACATTACTAATTAAAAAGTTATTAACTGATTTTTATAAGTAGTTCACAAATTTTAGTATTTTTGGCTCATTTCCAAAAAGGACGGTTTAAATTTTCTTTCCAGTTTTTTGATGTATTGCGACTAATAATTGTCATAAAATTCAACCAAAAAATATATTGTAGCTCCAGTTGTATGAACAGTGGCACCATCCTGCTGGAAGTACCCATCATCTAGTTGGTTTAAAAATGAAGTTAAAATTTCTTCCCGGTAACGTGAAGTCATTTATGTTTTCTGAAAACATGATTTATTTCATTGTTAACACACTAATAAAAAAAATGGAACAATAATAATCCTCGAAAAATTTATACATAATACTAGGAAATGCTGTCAAGTCAAATGTCAATTATCTATAAGCCCGACTGCATTTAATACAATGTTGAAACCGTACATGCTTTAAAAAAAATTATCCTGATATAAATAAATAGCCAATAATTCCAGGGTCTGTCAAAATATGTTTTTATTGTACACTCGTTATATAACCAATTATAAATTATTGTATTTAATATTACAAATATACAGGGTCGCTAGAATGTATGGAAATGGTTAGATATCTTGAGAACCAATTGTAAAAATCAACTGAAATTAGCTATAAGGGTATAAGAAGTTATACTCTAATTACTCGTTACAAAAAAAATGTTTTTGCTTCATTTGTTTTCGAGATGCAAGGCCCACTTGTGCCACAATTAGCGCTGAATCACAATGTTAGTAGAAAACCAATTCAAACAATACTGAAAAAGGAAAAGTTTCACCCATACAAAATAACAAATGAGAACTGTCATAATTATTTTTGAAGCCCACGGCCAAGTACGTCCTTAGAATCTTTATAAAAACCCTGTATATCTAATCTTCTTTTCATAACAAGAAACTTAAAACATGTTCAAGATGGTAAATTTTTGTAGAGAAATATCGATTTCGCAATTAAACTCCTCCTCCCGGCTCACGATGCAGAAAAAAATCAGCACAACTGAGATCGGGCGGGTGGGCGGGGCTTATATTTAGCCTTGTTTTTCAACGTATCTAATCTTTTCTTAACAAGAAATTTAAACATGTTCAAAATGATAAATTTTTTTAGAGAAATATGGATTTTGCAATTAAGCTCCGCCCCTCCGTCTGACAACGAATGAAAATTTCATCACAATTGAAATCGAGGCGGGTGAGTGGGGCTTAATCTTTCGCTTTTTTTTTAAATATCAAATGGTGAATTTGAGGTTAGAATTATATCCGACACTTTGTATTTTTACAAAATGTTGGACATAATTCTATCCTCAGATTCATCATTTGATACTTCAAATGTTCTATTGTTGAAAGAAAAGAGTATATAAAGATTAAGCCCCACCCAGCCGCCCCTATCTCAATTGTGATGAATTTTTCATTCGTTATCAGACGGAGGAACGGAGCTTAATTGCAAAATTTATATTTCTCCACAAAAATTTACCATTTTGAACATGTTTTAAGTTTCTTGTTATGAAAAGAAGATTACATATATTAAAAAAAATATAAGACCAATATGAGCCCCGCCCACCCGCCCTGTCGCATTTCTGATGATTTTATTTATTCATCATGAGCCGGGGGAGGGGTGGAACTTAATTGCAAAATCCATATTTCTCTACAAAAATTTACCATTTTGAACATGCTTTAAGTATCTTGTTTTTTTATTAATACATGTAATCTTTTCGTAACAAGATACTCAAAACATGTCCAAAATGGTCAATGTTTGTAGGAAAATATGGATTTTGCAATTAAGCTCCACCCCCCGGCTCACAACGCATTAAAAAAAATCACCACAACTGAGACCGGGCGGGTGGGCGGGGCTTACATTTAGCCTTGCTTTTTAACATATCCAATCTTATAACAAGAAACTTAAAACATGTTCAAGATAGTAAATTTTTGTAGAGACATATGGATTTTGCAATTAAGCTCCACCCCTCCCCCGGCTCACGACGCATAAAAAAATCATCACAACTGAGATCGGGCGGGTGGGCGGGGCTTATATTTAGCATTGTTGTTTTAATGTATTTAATCTTTTCATAACAAGAAATTTAAACATGTTCAAAATGGTAATTTTTTATAGAGAAATATGGATTTTGCAATTAACTTCCGCTCCTCCGTCTGACAACGAATGAAAATTTCATCACAATTGAAATCGAGACGGGTGGGTGGGGCTTAATCTTTCGCTTTTTTTTTAAATATCAAATGGTGAATTTGAGGTTAGAATTATATCCGACCCTTTGTATTTTTACAAAATGTTGGACATAATTCTATCCTCAGATTCATCATTTGATACTTCAAATGTTCTATTGTTGAAAGAAAAGAGTATATAAAGATTAAGCCCCACCCACCCGCCCCTATCTCAATTGTGATGAATTTTTCATTCGTTATCAGACGGAGGAACGGAGCTTAATTGCAAAATTTATATTTCTCCACAAACATTTACCATTTTGAAGATGCTTTAAGTGTCTCTTTTTTTTTTGTAATACATGTAATCTTGTCCTAACAAGATACTTAAAACATGTCCAGATTGGTCAATTTTTGTAT